TTAAAAATCTCTTAAAAAGGATTTGAATTCTCTAATTTTTAAAATAGTTTATTAGAAATAATTATTTTTTAGACAATTTTTCTATTCTCGAATTAAAATTTGACAGATTTTCTTTTTTTTTTATACGAATTTTTACATAACAAAATTTTAAGCCGCAGGGAATTTTTGGCCAAAAAATTTTTATTTTACAATCATTTTCTTCACATGCGACTTTTTGTTTAATAGAATTTTAATTTAACAGAATTTTCATGCGATTCGAATTTTTAAATAACAGAAATTTACAATTCATCGAATTTTAATTTATCCGAATTTTTATTTTGTCCAAATTTTTATTTGTACGAATTTTTTATAAATAAATTCGGTAGCTAAAAATTTCGTTAAATTAAAAATAATAAACATTAAATTTTGTATTTATTTGAATATAATTCAAAAAATGATAAAAATAAACGAAATATAATTTAATTCATGGGGGAAAAAAAATTAATATTTCAGTGCCCCTTGATGTTATGTGCATGAAGCACTAATTTTGAGGTTAGTTTCCAGTATTATTTTTACAGCCGCAGAAAAGGCTGAAAATTCTTTATAAATTAAATATTTTTCCATTTGATTTGAAAATAATTTTTTTAGCGTTATTACTTTGAGTATAATATAATTTTATTTGGTATCAAATAAATACAGCGCATTCATATTTTATTTACATATATTAAAAATTTTCATAAATCACAAATAGATAAATAAATAATCCATATAAAAAAATTAGCAACATATTTTTATTAAATATATGTCCATTTTATTTGACTGCTATGTTTTTAAATTTTTGACCAGAATATTTCAGAAATTTCCTCTTATATGTAATTTAATCCTCAAATAATCATCCAAAAGCGAATTACGTATTTTTTCTAATTTTTTTTTTTTCATTGCTCCAGCTAATAGTAAAATTGATTTGTAGGTTCTTTTTCTATAGATATATTTTCTTTTTTAAATCACTATCTGCAAAAAAATAATTTTTATAAAAAAATTAGCAAAATACAGTAAAATATAGTTGAAATAAATTAGTTTTATTAAAAATTAAAAATTTTTCTTACCTAAAATGACTTTTTTTTTTTTTTTATTAGAGTAACAGTCTTCTAATTCACAAATCGAAATTTTGGCATGTTGAAAAATTTTCTTTTAATTTTTGCTTTTATTATTTCAAAAATAAAAGCAATTAACGAAAGTGAATATCCAATGATTAATACAAAAAATAGTACTAGAAAAAGTTTCTCTTTTGTAATTACATCTGGCTCAATTTTATCATTTATTGTACGTAATGCAGGTTCATAAAAATCTTTAACTAATCCAAATTCTGATGCTCTTAGAAGTAATTGATTAAAACGATCGATATAGGGTGATAAAGATTTTGCCAAAAAACTATTATTTGAATAGGCAACAGCTTCTTCTAATATTTTAACATTTTTTGATTTACCGTTTATAACTTCATACATATTAACATGATATGCAGCATTACTTAAAATACAAGTGACATTTTGATAATCAATTAATTGTTTTAAACATTCATTCTCTTTGATTCTTTTAAAGGAAATAAATTTTCTTGACAATAAATAACCAAATTCAGTTAAGGATGATGATTCATGTAAATGATAATCCATTACTGGTTGCAAATCTGTTTCAACGAGTTCTTTGAGATTTAAAATTTCCGTTGTTACAATTTGTCGTAAATTAATATCCAAAATTGCTGAATAAAAATAACTTGTATAGGCAATGCATGTTATCAATAATGAGGCAAAAAATATTCTTTCTATCCAATTCTTTGGTTCTTTTGATATTGAAATTCCCATTATAATTAGAGTCAAATTTAAAGTTTGCCATTTAAATTTCATGAAAAATGTCGTTATTCGTAAAAAAACAATCATTACAATTGTTAATAAAATCATGTACCAAAATTCTGATGAGAGCTCAACGTTATTTGTAATTTTCATCATTTTTGGAATAACAGCTTTTAAAGAATCGTGTTTTAATATTCTCATATTGCTATAGCCTAATATTGCAGAATAATAAATTGATTCAATAAATATATATAATTCGGGTTTTATTTTTGCTATACTTTTAAAATAATTGTAATATATATCATAAAATGAATTCACAGTGTAAAATTCTGTTATATTTGGTTTAAAATTCATCATTTGTGCCAAAATTTCGATAAATTTAATAGCCTGTCCTTTTTTAGTTACTTTAGAATTAAAACCGTAAACAATAACAAAGTTCAATTGATATTCATTTAGATTCATTAATTTATTTGGAAACCATTCACTTTGTTTCGATACCTTCGAAATATGGTCATTAGTAAAAGGATTAATATAATGTAAAATAGGCAAATTATCCGAAATTGATTTCAATTTTACTTGAGAATTGTTGTAAGTTAATAGAGTAATGTCCAAAAATTTTTTCAACCAATATGAATGTAGAGTTTTATTAATATCCTCAAAAGTTGTGTAATTTGAATTGACAACTAAACATCTTGGTAATGATAAGTCTTGTAGTAATTCATTTTTTTTCATAGATGTATAAAATTCCATTAGATTTTCTTCGTTGGTCATTTGTAAAATAAACAGTGTTGTACTTCTTGGTCGCATAAGTAATCTCAAGTGTCGTTCTTCAAGTTTGTTAAAAAATACCCTGTGATTTAGACTCAATGATGGAAAATGTGAATTCACTGTTGTAATAAGAGAATTCATAATTGGATCTATTATTTGTTCTTGGAGAATAAATACAACCTGATGCAATTTGGAATCTTTCTTGAGATATTTAATCAATCCATCAAAATGATTATTACTTGATGATATTCCTTGAATTTCTTTCAAAAAAATAAAACTCACAATAAATATACTAAACTTCATTGTTTCAATGTAACCACTATCGGTGACTGATGAAAACTGTCTGACAAAGTCAATGAAATACTATATATAGTGTATAAAATTAGGCATTTAACGCTCTGTATTTATAAGTGTGGGGGAAATGTAGTTATATTTGCTTTATACTTGAAAAAATTCCTTTTTATTTGACATATAAATATTAATTTGAAGGAGTGTACTCCAATAATGCAATTTGTATCTATCAAAATTTATTTGTTAACGAATTTGTTATTTATTGACTAATAGGGGAAAAAATTAATATTTCAGTCTCCTTTGATGTTAGTACTTGGAGCACTAATTTTGAGGTTAGTTTCCAGTTTTTTTTTTTTTTTTTTTTAAGTCAGAAAAGGCCGATTTGCTCCATCACGTCAGGATTTTTTTCTAACCTCGAAAAACATGTCTATAATCAAACAAATAACTAAAAATTCATGATGGTTTTTTTGGGTCATTGATTACGGATCTGATCTAAAATTAAAAAATTTAAATTCTCGTTGTTTTAAAAATCTAATATCAGATTCGTAATCAGCGACCACCAATAATTCCTAGAACTCAAGAATTTTGAGTTACTATAAGTTTGATTAGACATGTTTTTTGAGGTTAGAAAAAACTCCTAACTTGATGGAGCAAATTAGACTTCAGATTCGTGTTCATCGCATGAAATTACGTCAGAAAATTATATTTCAGTTTACCTTGAAAAAAGTTCAATTTTTTTTGTGAATCTATATATAAAAATTTTTAAATTTGGATCATATGTAGGGGTCAGTCCACTGACTTTCGTCTATAATAGTGGTTGCGACCAAATTTTAAAAAAATCTAGTTTTAATATATATGTGAAACTCGATGATTCCCTGAGTTCATTAATCATATAATATTATGGTAAAAATTTTATTCCCTTTAAAAATATTAAATATCAAAAGTAGAAGGTTCACAATGTGATTTTGTAACCTTAAATTTTTCAATTTTTTTTAAAAACGCTATTATTAAAAAACTATTAAAAATTAGATGTTGGAACTCACCAAAAACATAATAAATCACTTTATTCTGCACAGAGGAACGAAAGAATTATTGCAAAAATTTATTATTTTTGGATGATATACGATTTTTAAAAAAAAATTTATTTAAATATTCTCAAGATTTTTATTTACTTATTATAACTTTTTTGTCGGTATTCCGAAAAAATTGAGGTTTTGCACAAAGATTTTTTATAATATTCTTTACCTTTCTATTAAAATCTTACGAAGGTGTTTTGCTTCGTTTTGGAGATATTAATTTAAAAAATTTTTTATTTAAAAAGGTTATTAATTAATTATTATTAATTTTCGTTATATGTGACACTTTAACCCCCTTAAATTTTAGGTTTAAGGGTACGGAACCCTCGGTTTTAATGCGAGTGTAATAACTCGCACTTGTCCGATTTTTTTGACATATAAATACGTTTACATTTATATATAAAGAAATTTGAAGCAATATACTTCAGAAAAGTAATATTCAAAATTTATTTATTAACGAAATTGTTGTTTATTCGTTTCTTTTGACGTTCTTCTTATTCGTTTCTTTATATATAAATAAATACAAAGAAAGCTTCAAGTGTATACTCAAAATGAAAATAGTTTTAGTGGACTAAATTTCAAAATTTTTTTTGTTGATTTTTTGTTGCTATAGGTTATTACTACTCTACGAGGGAAAAACGTACGTAAGTGACACGTATTTACATGTCAGTTACGTAATTTTTTTTCCATTTTATGGCATATCTAACAATTATTCTATATTTAAAATTCTTTAAAAAAATTTGAATATAGAAGCTATTAAGTTTTTTTTATATATTATATTATAATATATAATTATAATACAATTATAATATATTTTTTTTATATAATATGATATTATAATATATATTTTTACATATATACTAATGTAAGGAATCCTTAAATGAATTTTAAATGGGGTAGAAAAATAGAATTTTTCTCATACGATGAGAATGTAAAAAAATTGTGGAATTTGTTTTTTTTAACGATAAATATTAACGGAAAAATAAAATAAAAAAAAAATAATAGATTTTTTTTTTTTTTTTTTTTTTATTGTACCTACCTATATAGAGAATGCCATCGAGGTCGAGATTTTCATTACTCCCTTGACTATTAACAGCAGCTACGTGATCATCAACAGCAAGTGTATGTCTTTTAGGTGCTGGACGTCCAATACTGACGGCGTGCCATTTACTATCATTGAGTTTCGATTTTGATGTGTCTCTGATTTTGACAGGTCCATCGCCCAAATCGAACACATATGTAATATGTCCATTCACTAATTCAACGGCAATAAAATCCCTCTCACGACCAGCGTTGAAGAAAATTAAGCCATTTGGCTCACGTGTTTTGAACTGAAAATTTTTTTTCATTTTTTTTTAATTATAGATAAAAGTGCAATAAAATCAATACATATATAACATTTACCCGCACTAAAAAATTTGCAAAAAATATATTTTGCAAAACTTAACGTAAAAAACTATTGTCACCTGAAGATAAAGTAGATTTTCTTTTTTTCTACAGTCGGTAATGTAGATTCATAAATGAATGCTAATTAATTTTTATCTACAATTAATAATAATAATAATAATAATTGTACGGAAAATTATAATTAAAATTAAGGAACATTAATTTTGAAAAGAATGACAAATTAAAAGAGTTAATTTTGTTTATTTCTAAGATATTACAATAATGACTTCGTTTAGATTCGTAAATAATAAATATGAAAAAACATTAAGTTCTCAGAAATGATTTCTATTCGTGAATTATTACCGCAAAGTGCATTATGACGTGACTTGGGAATTTAAATTATGATAAAACGCTTCGAGTTAATTTTGTAGGCGTAACCCTCAAGTTTTGAACAAGTCCGAAACTTAGAAGTCCCTTCAATTATATATATATATATATATATATATATATATATATATATATATATGGCAGAGTGCCTCACCACTTCTCAAGTTTGCCGATATACGATCTTGATTCTAACAAAACTTTATATAAACTTCTCACAGTCCATATTATATCATTCTTGCTTAATTTATATTGCAAAAAGAAAAATTGTTATTTAATGTTAATTTAAAAAATTTTTTTTTTATAAACTTAAACACTGAAAAAGGAGGTACTAAAATAGTACCGATTTTAGGTATCAAAATAGAACCAAATAACAATTTAATACCTAAAGTTGGTATTAAATTAATACCTTTCTTTTTACAGTGAATGATTCGTTAATTGTTTTAAATTTTTTTCGGTTTGCAAAGTAAAAAACTAGTGTCAATTTCTACATTACCAACAGTCGGTATTATAGAGGGGGTTTATTACCTATTGTCACTTCAGTCGGTAAAGTAGAAATTTTTATATTACCGACAGTCAATATTAAAGGGGATTTTTATTGCCTATTGAAATTTCTGTCGGCAAAATAGAAATTTCTACTTTACCGACAGTCGGCATTATAGGGTGTTTTTTTAAATTACCTATTGCCATTTTAGCCGGTAACGTAGAAATTTATATATTACCGACAGTCGATATTAAAGGTTTTTTTTTAAAAATAACATTGGAATTACTGTCGGTAAAGTATAAATGTATATATTACCGACAGTCGATATTAAAGGTTTTTTTTTTAAATAACATTGAAATTACTGTCGGTAAAGTAGAAATTTATATTTTACCGACAGTCGATATTAAAGGGGTTTTATTTTGGCCAATTGAAATTTCTGTCGGCAAAATAGAAATTTATATATTACCGACAGTCGATGTTAAAGGGGTTTTATTTTGGCCTATTGAAATTTCTGTCGGTAAAGTAGAAATTTATATTTGATATTTAATTTTACACTAATAATTAAAAAAATAATAATTTATAATAAATATATCGACTTTTCTATTTTTTAAAAATTATTTTCCCACTCTTAATTTTAATTAGTTAGATAAAGAAATAAAAAAATAAAAAAAATTTTTTATTGAAATCGAGTATTCGTTATGCAATAATATTTCCAACAAAAATTATAATTAAAATTTAATGATATCGATTGTTATAAAATTCAAAGCGAGTGGTGTGTTAATGTTATTTCAGAGTGGGTGGGGGAGGGGGCGAAAAATGAGACATATTTTCTCATTATAAAACAAAAACACACACACACACACACAAATATAATATGCTGTGAAACAATGGAGTTGAACGCAATCGTCAAGGTTAATAGCATTCACCCAGTAGTATAATATAATGAGTTTTGCGTGAAAATATTGCACCACAGTTTGATGTCAGCTTATATGAGCTCTGATTCCATTAAAAATGAAATATATATCTCAGCTTTTATATAACATTTAAACATTAATTTTGTGTGAAATTTAAAATAAAAATTAAAAAAAAACAAACTTTTTCATTCGATTACATTTATAATATTACTAATAACTATTTTTATGTATATAAATTTCTTTTTTTTTTTTAAATAAATTTTTTCAACTTATCACCGCGAAAATAATTTTTCTTGCTCGGAAAAAAAAAATTTTACTTGGAATAGCGATAAGTTTCACTGGAACAGCAATTTCATTTCACTAAAATAGAGAAAGTTTTCACTATTTTAAAGAAACATATATCGCTGTTGCAGATAAACATTTTTTTTTCCTTGTAACAAGAAAAATTTATAACGTATTTTTAAATATCAATATTATTTTTTATTATTATTTAAAAATTATTTAATGTTTATAAGTAATAAATTTAACGATAAATAATAATAATAGTATTAATAATAATAATAATAATAATAAAAATAATAATAACAATATTAGTAATACCTGAAAGTAGATGTTCGTTTCGACATAAGCCTTAAGAACGGGTAGTCCAACAAAAGTGTGTTTCGATGTGAATGTAACGGGATGATGAACAAGATGATTTCTTTTGCCAAATTTCCCAGTGACCCTTATAATTGGCGTAACACCCTGATGTGATGTTTGATGAGTACCAGCGCTACGTGCAATTTCCACATATGGATAGCCATTGAACCAAACCTGTTGAACTTGACCAATAAAATGTGGAATTTCCTCACCCGAATGAAGATAACCACCAACATGTAGAGTACGAAATTCTAAGACATTTTCATTATTTAAAATTGCATCAGCTGAAACAAAAAAAGTAACACATTGTTTAATTTTTTTTTTTTATTTTTTAAACTCCATATTTATTATTATTAATTTATTTTATATTAATAAATAATTTGATTCCATTTCGAATTTCTAAAGGTAAAAAAAAAATTCATAACCTCTAAAATAACCCTCTTCATATATATATATCAAATATAATGAAATTAATTTCAGAAAGCTGGGACACAATGGAAGTTAGGTAGAATCGACGGGTCCAGCAATATCGATAATATAATCGATACACGCTTGGTTTGCCAATCAAGTGTGTATAGTTGTGGCTATATAACGTTGTCCATCGACCCTATATATGTATATATATAATATATATATATATATATATATATATATATATATATATATATATATATATATATAGAAACATCTAGGATTTTGCCTCCTCTGGTCGTCCCCATTAATCGGATGGCGACTACCACCAATATTGAGTTAGGTGGCAATACCCTAAATTGCTGGACCATCCACTTCCCTCCCCCCCCTCTCCCTCCCAATCCTGATTCTCTCACGGTACTAACCTCTGTACTCGCCTTATCGACCTTGCCAAAGTACAAAACGCGCGCCATTCAATATAGATACACATACACACTTGTATTGAATTTAGAGACGATAATTGTTACTTCCGAGAATTGCCATGCATCATCAGAGATGAAATCAAATTCTCAGTTTCGAAATCAATCCAAGAATTCTCAACTCTCCTCCTCCCTCTCTCGTCTCCGTGGACCACCCTTCAACTTAAATGACATCTCATTATATATATCGATAATAAATCCTACCCTCCTCTATATATGTATATATGTATATACATCGCCTTTATATAACTGTTCGTGTATACTCGCTGTAATGTCAAGTATATACAATTTGAATCTCAATTTGACGTAAATTAGTTTTCCGTAGGTTTAATTGGATATTAGGGGAAAATTACATACAAAATTTATATAGCTTGAAATTTATTGTTAAATAGATTTTGAAAGTTTAGTATATTGGCAACAATATTTGCGCGATAGAGAAAAAAAATTGATTCAATTTTTTAGCCCATAAATGTGTTACACAATTTTCAATTAGGAATATTTTTGTGATATTTTTTATACTAATTTGGTGAAAATAAATAGCAAAAGCTAACAAAACCGTAATCTAATCTACTTTACCGACTGTAGATAAAGAAGAAAACTTCTTTACTTTCAGTTAGTAATGTTTGGGAGTATTTTGTAAAGTTTTATGTTAGTTATTTGAAAATAAATAGCAAAAGATACCAAAACCGTAATCGACTGTAGATAAGGAAGATAATTTCTTTATTTTCTGTTGATAATGTTTGGGAGTACTTTGTAAAGTTTTATCCTAGTTTCATGAAAAGAAATAGCAAAAGTTAACAAACCATAATCTAATATGCATTACCGACTGTAGATAAGAAAGAAAACTTCTTTATCTTCAGTTTGTAATTTTTGGGATTTTTCTATGCCGACTGTAGATAAGGAAGAAAACTTATTTACCTTCAGTTGGTAACAATTGGGAGTACTTTGTAATGTTTTATATTAGTTTTTTTTTTGAAATCAAATACCAAATGCTAACAAAACAATAATATAATTTGTTTTAAAAATTTTTTTTTAAAGTTTAATAATTTTTTTAATTGTTTATAATAATTTTACTTTTTGGCAAAAATTATGTACATTTTTGAAGATTCATAAGTATATATATATATATATATATATATATATATATATATATATAACGAAATATAAAGCAGAAATATAAAAACTTATGTGATTCCGTTAAGGTTTCCTTGACTACCCGGGGAAGGGGTGGGGGGGGGGGGGGTTGAAGCCAATTGCCAACTAATCAAACGTCCTTTAATTGGATCGTAAATCGATGTCAAAGTACAACTCTCGAAATGAACCATTCACCATTAGTCATTTCTATATAGAAACCAAGTTCTATAATGTTTGAATTTTCAATGCTAATCTCCTAAATCATAATTCTACATTGATTACGAAAACACAAGTATTAAATTAATTATAATTAAATTTGAATTTAAAACATTAATTCGATTTTTTATTACAGATATTGAAAAAATCGAATATTTAAAAATTCTATAGGTTTAAAAATTAAAAATTATTTAAGAAATTGAGAAATTTTGAAAAAATAAATTCATTAGCAATTTATTCAAATAAAATAGAAAAAAGATAAAGGTAGATCGCGATATTATCGATAGTCGAAAATATAGAAATTCGTTCTTTAGTTATTGGCAGTTCTGTCGGTAAAACAGTCAATGTGTCAAATAAAGGTGTTTTTTCCTGCTGGAATTTTTTAATTACACTTTACAAATGAAATACTGATGTAGGTCGCGACTTTACCGACTGTTGGAAAAAGAGATTTTTTGTTTTTGTTAATTAAATATTTACAATCTTAATTTTTTCTTTCTTTCTTCGTTTTTTCTTTTTCTTTGACATTACCTACAGTAATTTTCTTTTTTTAAACGAATATTGTTTTCAAATTCTTCAATTGTTATAAAATTTCGTAAAAATTGTGAAAAATTTTGGAGAAATTTTTTTTAATAAATTGTTAAAATAGAAACAAACGAATGTGAATAAATTTAAAAGTTTGTGTATGTGAGGAGGGAGAGAGAGAGAGAGAGAGGATTTATGTGATAAATGGACGTAAATCTAAATCCAATAAAATAAAGCTTAATGGGTCGCCGGTTTGCTATTGTGATATCCTTGCTGGTTATTTGTGATCGACAGGAGCAAAGTTCGTATTGGAATATGTATTATATACATATATCATGAATATAGAATTATATAGATAGATATCAATGCAGAATTGCTTCTCTTTACGATTCCCAAATGTATATATTATACATATATATATTTCGCATCTTCCATACTTTACGTCCCATCAGACTCGATATATTTCACATTATATTTTTTCTGCTTTTTTTAAAAAATAAATCTTCAAATTCTTTATATTTTTAAATAAATATATATTTCATAATTTAATAAATAAATAAAAGAAAATTCTCTTTTTTAATTACAGATTTCTATTATCGACTTTTATCGACATGTGCTTTTATTCCATACTTATGACCAACGTCGGTAAATGTCGATAACAGGAATCTGTAATTTTTTAAAATTAATTTTTTTTTATAAAACTAATTTAAAAAAATTATGTAACCTCGGTAAATGTCGATAACAGGAATCTGTAATTTTTTTTTATTAATATTCGCTTATAAAACTAAATAAAAAAAAATACGTTGTATTTCCTTTAAAATTGTGTTCCTATTTGAAGTTTTATTTTTTATTTTTACTTTTTCTTTACTTTTGTATGCAATTTTTATTCATTATATAATAATTCAACAAGTTTTGAGAAAACAATTTTGTCGCGAGTATATAAAAATAATAATTCTTCTAAATTGTAAAATTTGGAAAATATATGTTGGTAAACTTTAGATTAAATTTGTAGAATTTATTTTTTAAAAAGAGAGAGAATTCGCTTGAATTTATAAGATATATTTATGTAATAGAAAAAGAAAGAAAAAGACTTTATTCAACAAAATCCTTGAGTATTCACATTATTCAGTGGTTTTTTTTTTAGGGGGAGAAAATATTGTCCAATAATATTAAAAACAAAAAAAGTTTTTTTTTGTTTTATTTTCGGAATCTTATTAGTCTCTTTGTATACCTTTTGAAAGATTTGAAATTTATTTTCACTTTCTCGACTGACTTAAATTAAAAAAACTATTGTTTTTTTTTATCCACGTATTTACCGCGCTGGAAAAAGTTTTATAAAAGTAAAAAAAGTTTTATATTTGGTAAATAAGTGAGTTTAAAAAAAATTTGTAATTAATTTCAATTCCCAAATGTATATATATAATTTTACACGATAGTTTTTGACCTATATCTTTTTTTAGAGTGTTCAGCTTTTTTTAATCCACTGAATTTTACTAATGGAATAATATATATATATATATATTTTACAAATATACAGAATTTATAGTATACAGAAAAGTGCACAGCTCCTGGCTTTTTAAACATATAATAATCGCATTTATGTAAATGCATTTTTTATTGACTTTAGAAGCGAGGCGCTTGGCTTGATCTATCTTTTTGATCGGCAAGGGGTAGTAAAAAGGGATGGAGGGGAGAGGAGAGGAGCAGGGAAGAGGAAGGGGGTTAGAAGCAATCAGAATTGCAGCTTGATTCAGGTTGTCGAGACTCTAGCGAGCACTCCATTTATCAAAGCTCCACTCTCAACGAACAGATCGCGTGAATGGATATTTCCAACGAGAGAGCACAATCTCCCTTTTTTCCGCCTCAATTTTTTTTATTTCCACCTTTATCATTATTCTACCGCAGTCTAATTTATTTTCTATATAATATTTCCAGTTATATTCTTTTTATTAATTTTCTTTATTTTTTTTCTAACACGATTATCAATTTATTTTTTACTATGAAAAAAACTCGAAAATTATATATATATATATATTGTCGATAATTAACGACGTAGTCGATAAATGTCGGTAACAGGAATCTGTAATTTTTTTCTCTCTTTTTTTCTAGTAAATAATGATGCTTTTGATCGTTGGTGGTTTTAGAAATAAATACAGAAAGAAAATAACTAAAAGTGAGAATAGTCGGTAAATGTCGGTAACAGGAATCTGTAATTTTCTCTCTCTTTTTTTTCTATTAAATAATGATGCTTTTAATCGTTGATGGTTTTAGAAGTAAATACAGAAAGAAAATCACTAAAAGTGAGCGTAGTCGGTAAATGTCGGTAACGGGAATCTGTATTTTTTTTCTCTTTTATTCTATTAAATAATGATGCTTTCGATCGTTGGTCTTAACAGGGTATAAATTTCAACGAAGGTGAAAGATTCGACCAAGCGTATTCTTTGATAAATCTCGATGAGAAAATTGATTATTGGCAGGGAGTCCTCACCTTGTCCCCCTCCTCCTCTTTCTCTTTGCAGAAA